CGTCTACCTCTATTCTTCTACCATGGACAGGAAGTATTTAAGTTGTTGTGGGAAAAAAGCCCATCACCGCAGAAAACATACTTTGCTGTGAGGAAGTCTTGCTGGTAGAACTAGTGTCGAACATGGATTGTTCTTAAAACTGAAATAATTCGAATAACAAATGGGATTCTCGAAATACAAATAAAATATTTCGAATCATGTCTGAAAAAGTTGTAGTAGAAATGTCCTAAAATACAGCTGCATCTCCCACCAGTGCTGGAAATATTGAAAGTGTTTAACATAAAATACGTCGATGTTAAAGTCGCTAGTACTATTTAGTAGCTGTAGTACTCGTAAAGTATGATTTAAGAAAAATCATAACAAAAATCAGAAGTCTCGTTAGGTCGTGCATTGTCAGCCGGTATATCTTCGTTGGCAACTGTATGCAGCATCTATGCAATGTAGGACGAGATTCTTAAATACGGATGTCTTTCGTCGCATTCTATTTTAGATTTGAAATATTTTAAATTTTTATCTTTGCTTCCCGATTTTCTTTCAGTTATATCTTCTATCCACAATTTCAAATAAAATAATTTGTAATTTGACATTTCGAGTTCTGGGCGTATACAATCCCTCCAAATGAAAAAAAAAAAAACAATTTAAAATTCAATTACTACAATGCCCTCTATATTTCTGTAAATTAAAGGTTTTGGCCGCAATTTCGAACCAAAGCATGTATATTTCCTGATTCGCGATATTCTAAAGGTGGCAGACACCGCTTTTCCTTTTGAAGTAGGCCTCTGTATATTCCCATATATTAATTCAAATGAAACATTCCGCTGCTCCCATCCTTTGGCGTTATTTTTCAATTCATCCAAATAAGAAAGATTTTATCCTTTTCACGTCATCACAAAATGCACTGCACGCCGGCACTTTACTAATATTAGTCATTTATTTTGGTATATTTATTTTACCATAGAACAATAAGGTAGCTCTACCGCGCTTTTTTATTTTACCAAGCTCGATATAAATACAAATAAATAGCTATGCCATGATAGAATAATACAGGTAACAACAAGTGCTGTTGTACAAAAATCGTAACAAAACCACATACAAATTTGTTTTTGTACGTAATACAAGTGTCAGAGTTATATGTCCCAAAATTTAAACAAAATAATTAATTTTCAATAAATTATTTTAGTTTCAAAAATACACATTTTTGAAATTTGGATTATTAAATTTAAAATGCAGAAGAAGATCTCTTTCAAATTGAAACCAAACTGCATACACACATAAAGTTTTCTACATTCTGAAATTTTAGGAAACATGAAATATACAACTATGTTGCCTTTTTAACCGCGAAGAACGTTGTCGCACCATCGCAATAGACGTTTCGTTTAATACAACGGCGATTTTTCTATTAGTATAAGCCAAAAAATATTCACATTGCCCTGCAGTGAAATTTTATTTTTAACAAGTAAGCAAAGGCTACAGTCGAGCGGGGCCGACCGTTGAATACCCTACAACACTATAATAAACGATACATTTTATATAGGCGAGATACTCGAAAGAATTCCACAAGATATTGTGACAAATAATAAAAGAAAACCATCAGGTTTCGTTCTCTAATTTTCGAATAATAGCAACTTAAACTAATTTGCTCATTTCCAATTTATTGGTAGATGTTGCACTTAAATGGTCTTCCTAGATCTGGAACCAATATTTCCCAAAGACCTATAATTTCTTAGAAGTGTATTTGTGAATTCTCGAAAAAGTTCCAGAGACATTTTCGGACATGGACATTTTCGTATTTTGTCTACCAAAGTTGGCAAACTATTTCACACATTGAATATTTTTGAATGGCCATCCAAAACTGCTTGGCTTTTGCAATGTCCGGTAACCCCCTTTCAAATGTGCGTGAGGATCGGGCGATAATTACGACCTGCCGACAATTTTGCAGTTTTTTGGTCCATTTCAACCCCTAAATATATGGCGATCATCTCCAAAAAGAGTAGGCTTCTATTCTGACCCTCATCTTATCCCCATGCTAAATTTCGTAAGGATCGGGCCATAAATGCGATCTGTATATGATATCCTGATATCCTAAATACTTAGTTTTGTTAGCTGTAGAAATATTACCAAATGTTTAATTCAAAATGAAAATATGCCAAAAATATGACAAAATTGAAAAAATATGAGAAAATTTTACAAAATCAATATTTTCATCTTTAGAGAGATATTTTTATGCGATTTTTTTTTTGACGTTTTTTCTTTCCTGCCAAGAGGCCATTCTGAATTAATGAGAACTGTCGAAATCAGTTCAGCCGTTCTCGACATATAAGAGATCTTTCAAGCATATCTTCTTTGATAGACATATATATCGCACATATTTTGCTATATATCCGATTTGTTGGATGTTAACATCAATGTAAAGGTCAGAAGTAACCTTGTCATGGCTTTGTGATTTCGCCGGGATTTAAAATATTCGCGGTTTTATGAAAAATTTTGAATTTTTTCAACACAAAATATATGGTCTATTTTACCCGCTAAATATTATCCGATGACCACCCAAATTGGTAGGCTTCTTCCTCGTCCTAAACTCTAGATACATGCGAAATTCCACGTCGATTGGTCTATAATTGCGACCTCTATAGCTACTGCAAAATCCGACATTTTTTCAGTATTTGGTCCATTTCAACCCCTAAACATTTGGCGATCATCTCAAAAAGGAATAGGGTTCTATTCTGGGCCGACCCCGACCTCCATTCCAAATTTCGTGAAGATTGGGCCATAATTGCGACCTGTAGAGTGATTACAAATTAACATGGACAGACGGGCAGACGGACAGACGGACGGACGGACATACATAGCTAGATCGACTCAGCTCGGCGAGCTAGGATGATCCATATATACTTTCCTATGTGGGAAACCAATATTTCGTGGTGTTACATAATTTTTGGCCCAATCAAACTTATAATACCCCCAACACATAGTGTTGTAGGGTATAAAAATGGTATACCTATTGTTATTACTATAGAGTCAAATCAGCTGCGATTTGCTGCTACCTGTAATTATTATACCATGCGTCAACACGTGCAAGTGAATGCTCGAAAGTTCACCTGCACACTAACTTTCTACTCAGCTGACAATAATATTTTCTAGCCAGCGAGCTTTGTGAGGAACTTCATTTTTTTCCAGTATTTTCAATACGGAAAAATGATTTTTGGACTATGATACATTTACGCAGCGTTCTGTAAGTTATTTTCATTCGAATGGACGGAACATTTGCACTGTACACTAAAGCTCATACCTGACAGATAATGATAAAAATGTAATGACAGTTGTTTAAGTGGTATTTTCAATTTGTTGGTTTTGAAATAAGTTTTGGGGTATTACGTCATATATATGTTCCATAAACACATACAATACCCAGTGTGTAGCAATACAACGTGGTATGATATAAAGGCCTTCGGACGAAGATTGGATTCGTTAGTAAAGGCACACATTCACAACAATTATCATATTTTTATACCCTCCACCATACTATGGAGGGTATATTTACCCTGTCATTCCGTTTGTAATCTAATTTGTAAAGCATTTATATTCCTGATCAGCGTAAAATTCTAAGTCGATTTAGCGATGACTGTCCGTCCATCTGTCTGTTGTAATCACGCTATCTTTCGAACGAATTGAGATAGAAGGCTAAAATTTTGCACACATGTTTATTTTACCAGTAGGTTGGTTAAGTGCGTAATTGGGTATTAGGTCCACGTTCTCGTATAGCCCACATATAACGGCACCTCTCGGTATTTTAATAATATTATAGTTGTTTCAAATTACGTATTTAGAGTTCGTAATGGGAACTACAATCTGTGACAGAAAATTGTCTAGGTCCAGGCCTTCGTATAGGCCCTTATATATCAGTACGTACCTCCCTACATTCGGTATTTTGAGGTGCAATACTCACCGAAATTGTTTGAGATGTCGTATTTGAAGTTCGTAATGGATGCTACAGCCTGTGACAGAAAATTGGCTACGCTGGTCCAGGTCCACGCACATCTACGATATAACGGTTCCTCCCTATAAACGAAATGTTGATGTTTTTAGCTACATTATTCACCGCTTATTCGGTATTTTTAAGATTTTAACAGAATTTTTAACGGATTTTATTTTTTGAAAATTTCGGTCCGGCCGAGCTTGCTGCTTCTTAACCTGTTTTGGTTTCTCTATTTCAAAATTGCGACAGATCATTACACCATTCCATTGTTTAAAAAGACGGACATCATTAAACTTCTAGTCCAAGGCGGTCCAATTACTACATTTGGAGCAAAAATCGACAGGACTGACTCCCAATCTTTGAGTTAAATATGTTGAGAAGTACAGGGTTGCCCATATTCGACGGACCCATCTGGCATAGCCATAACTTTTGACAGAAATGTCTTATCGCTTAATGACATACCGCGTTTGAAGCGTCAGTCCGTCAGTCGAATATGGGCAACCCTGTATGGGTTTCTGCAAATGTTACCTAGGATATGGCTTTAACATGGTTTATGTCTTGTTTTCATTAAGCACAAAATAGAAAAACTCATTTATTGTCAAAAGGGAATTTCGCAGCAATGTCAAGGTGAATTGTATATTTTTCGCCACAATAAAAAATTTTGAAATGTAGGGGGTAGAGTTGTATTTTTTGAGAATTCGCCTTCTGGTCGACCTTATAATTGGTTCATGAATGGAAATTTCGATTCCGTTCAAACCTGTCATATCGTAATATCTTTATCGTAGAAGGCGAATTGTTATGTATTGGCAACCCTGTGCCGGCTCACGGAGACCGCATTGTGATACAAAAGCTCGCAGATTTTCTCACTGCCCCATGTCCTCTCGACATCACCAAAGTATTCCGCATCGGTTTATCTTCCGCGAAGGAAACGTCAAACCAACTTCGATTATGAATAAGGCAGCGATTGTCGACGCTGGCTCTGTTCTGTCTGTGCATAATAGAACGATTGGCACCACAGGCCGCAATCAGTAATAATTCTTTTCTCTTGCTGTTCATATCAGCTCAGAAAGAGGGCGAAAGAAACGCAGCCGTTGCAATTTTACTTCTTTGAACTGTGACATTATTTGTGAATCGGTATTTTATGTACACTTCGTTATGACTTCGTACAACACGCTGTCACATTCCGATTACGATCAGCCAAATTCGGAGAACGTTACTACAAAGAGCGGTACGTTTCATCGCATGATCAAATATTGGCGTAACTCGCCAAGGACGGTGGGTGGTCTGAAGAAAAGTTCCAGCTTCATCGAATACCGGAAGCATCAATCGAATATGGTTTATCATCGTCTCGAGAGTTACGACGAGTCGAAATTGGCCAAGTTAAGGTAAGTGTCAAGAGTGAAATTTCCCTCCGTGTAATTATGGCTGCCGTACTATTCAGCAGCCATGATAAATAATAGCATCTATAAAAATATGCGAATGTGTCACTTCTATTTCGATGAAACCGAGCGATTAAAGAAATTGTGGCTTGTGTGTTGAAACTCTTGTTTCGTTCGAACGCCGTAAAATGAATCAAAACAGTCTTGGCATTAATCATCCATTTCATGTGTTTATTGTGGTTCCGAGATTATCCGATACAATAATACATCAAGGCATACATACACTCATTATTGCGCTGTAAATAAGTACTGCAAATAATAAATTCTACGAAGAGAAAACACTTCTCTCTTAATATAACCCCAAACAATTTAGAAGAAGTCTGAATATCTTTGGCCAAATCTGAATACCATCTCGGCTTCTGGTCGGAACGAGGAGTACCGCAAAGTACTAAAATTACATCAATGCCCAGAGGATTCAGAAGGGCTGGGATTTTGATACATATATATTTGATATATATATTTCAATTCACGAAATAAACACTAGTTGAAAAGAAAACATTAGATTGTGGACCCAATACTTTCGCACCCCTTAAGTTATAGTACCAACTTAAGTTATAGTACCAAAGAACTTCGTCTTATTTTATCCATTTGGAATACTAGCGAGTCTAACTCATAATTATACCCTCATATGGCTAGAGAGGGAATTGTATATCATTTGATACGGCCAATATGGGCAATATCGGCGCACTCCTTCTGGGCCGAGATATCTATATATATATATGTATATATATATATATATATATATATAAATATATATATATATATATATATATATATATATATATATATATATATATATATACATATATATATATATATATATATATATATATATATATATATATATATATATATATATATATATATATATATATATATATATATATGTATATAGATATAGATATCTCGGCCCAGAAGGAGTGCGCCGATATTGCCCATATTGGTCGTATCAAATGATATACAATTCCCTCTCTAGCCATATGAGGGTATAATTATGAGTTAGACTCGCTAGTAGTCCAAATGGATAAAATAAGACGAAGTTCTTTGGTACTATAACTTAAGGGGTGCGAAAGTATTGGGTATATATATATATATATATATATATATATATATATATATATATATATATATATATATATATATATATATATATATATATATATATATATATATATATATATATATATCGGCCCAGAAGGAGTGCGCCGATATTGCCCATATTGGCCGTTTCAAAGGATATACAATTCCCTCTCTAGCCATATGAGGGTATAATTATGAGTTAGACTCGCTAGTAGTCCAAATGGATAAAATAAGACGAAGTTCTTTGGTACTATAACTTAAGGGGTGCGAAAGTATTGGGTCCACAATCTAATGTTCTCTTTTCAACTAGTGTTTATTTCGTGAATTGTTGCACTAAACTCATGTCTGATTTGAAAGATAACAAGTAAAGTAGTATCAGTCGGTTTTGCCGACAGATGTATACCCTCAGCCTATGTTCAATTACTTAAATATATTTTGATGTGTGGTATAATTTTTCAAACTTTTGACCCTGAATAACCTAAATAAGTATGATATAAATATGGCGACGTGTCATGTTTGGCTATATCGTCTACTTTCTTCAATTTGTACGAAATATGCGATAATTTTTAGGAAATCTTAAAATGTGCATGAGTTACCAGTCGACCGAAGTATTCCATTTTCATACTTCATCTTATTAAGATAAAAATATTGGTACAGGAAAAATGGCAAGAAAAATAACATTTATATCCAATTTTATGCGATCTCAGGTTTCAGGTTGAGAGATATGAAAAGTTGTAAAGAATCGCAGACTTGTTTCACAAGTTATGACAGATAAAAGTATTGAAAAGTGTGACCTTTTGTGGGTGAGGTACCAGGCGGGGTTCGCAGATATTTACCAATCTCACAAGAGATCTTGTGTAAGCAAAAATATTTGTATTGTTAAATGTAAATTTGTGTTGTGAAATGTAAAGAAAGAGTTTTTCAAAAGCTTGAACCCTATGTAGGGGAGGTACCAGAAGAAACGGTCTCTACCATCTTTATTAAAGATCTTGTGTTGATGAAAATATTCAGAAACGTTTTGGTTATTCAAAAAAAAAAAAACAAGTTAAAAAGCAGTAAGTTCGGCCGGGCCGAACTTTTAATACCCTCCACCATTTACAACGAATTTGGAAATCTTCAAAAAATAAAATCCTTAAAAAATTCTGTTAAAATTTTAAAAATACCGAATATAGCCGTTATTTTGGGGTCAATACGACGTGGACATACATATGCATTGTTTGTCATAAGCCATTACCATATTCAAATTCGAAACTGGACCCGCACCGACAATTTTCTGTCACAGACTGTAGTTCCCATAACGAACTTCAAATATCAAATTTTAAACAATTCCGGTTAATAATGTCGCTAAAATCATCAAAATACCGAACATAGCGAGGTGCCGTTATATGGGGGCTATACGAAGACGTGGACCTACACAGACAATTTTCAGTCTTAGGGTGTAGTATCCATTTGGAACTTAAAATACCAAATTTGAAACAATTCCAGTGAATAATGTCGCTAAAATCATCAAAATACCGAATATAGGGAGGTACCGTTATATTGGGGCTATACGAAGACGTGGACCTGCAAAGACAATTTTCTGTCTTAGGGTGTAGTATCCATTTGGAACTTCAAATACCAGATTTGAAACAATTCCCGTGAATAATGTCGCAAAAATCATCAAAATACCGAATATCGGGAGGTACCGTTATATGGGGGCTATACGAAGACATAGACTTGCACAGACAATTTTCTATCTTAGGGTGTAGTATCCATTTGGAACTTCAAATACCAAATTTGAAACAATTCCGGTGAATAACGTCGCTAAAATCATCAAAATACCGAATATCCGGAGGTACCGTTATATGGGAGCTATATGAAATCGTGGACCTACATGGCCCATTTACGAACTTAACCTGCCTACTGGAAAAATAAACATGTGTGCAAAATTTTAGCCATCTATCTCAATTTATTCGAAATATAGCGTGATTACAACAGACAGACAGACGGACAGACAGACGGACAGACAGACAGACAGACGGACATCGCTAAATCGACTTAGAATTTTACGCTGATCAAGAATATATATACTTTGTTGGGTCTGACATGAGTATTTCGAGGAGTTACAAACGGAATGACAAAGTTAATATACCCTCCATAGTATGGTGGAGGGTATAAAAATGATCCTTTGTAGGGGAGGTACCAGAAGGAAAGCTCCGATCTCTACCATCTTTATAATAGATCTTGTGTTGATGAAAATATTAATGAAAATATTCATGGATATTCAAAATTTTAACCCTTAGGGGGGGAGGTACCAAAAGGAGTGGGCCGATATCTTAGCCCCAGACCTTGAGTTAAAAAAAGTATTAATATGTGTGAAATTTGAGGACAATCAGACTCTTACATCACTTTTTATAAGATTTATAACCATTCAAAATTTTGACCCCTTGTGGGGGAGGTACTTGATGGAGGTGACCGATATTTTCCATTTTCGCACCTGGCCTAGCACTAACGCAAATATTAATACTTGCAAAGTTTGTGCAAAATGGGATTATCGTTTCTTTTTCCGTGCAGAAAATATTTTTTGAAAATTTCGACCATTTGTGTGGGAGGTACCAGAAGGAGTGAACCAATACATTTCATTTTAACGCCAAACCTTGGGTTAATTAAAATATTGGGATATGTGAAATTTGAAGACAATCAGGCTCTTACATCACATTTTACAAGAGTTACAATTATTCAAAATTTTGACCCTTTGTGGGGAAAGTACCAGAAGGAGTAAACCGATATTATCCATTTTCGTACCTGACCTAGCACTGATGGAAATATTAGGATTTACAAAGTTGGAGCAAAATCGGATCATCCTTTCTCTTTCTGTGCAATAAAATATTTTCTTTTAAAAATTCGACATTTTGCCCATCTCCGAACTCGATCTATGTTTGACAAAAATATTACGATGTACCAAGTTTTGACCAAATCGGATACTCGTGCGCACTAGCCAGACAGACAGACGGACAGACATCGCTAGATCGACTCCAAATGTCCTGAAACGGATTTGATCCAAAAAGACCTAGGGTCTAAAACTGTTATTTCGACTAGGTACTTTTTGACCGTATCAAATGATATATACCCTCTCTAGCCATATGGCCATATGGAGGGTATAATTAGTATTATCGTTTCGCATATGGTTGTGTATAAACTTGACTTAAACGCTGGGAAATATTGCGACATTACTTTGAACATCAGAATATGTGCGAAAATTACGTACTGAATTTGAAACTCATTCTCATGCGAAATGCAGGTGCTAGACCTTTTTAAACATTTCATAGAGAGTAACTTCTCGTGTGCGATTTTTTCTTTTGGAATATTTACTTTAAGGATATGAAAAGTACCAAAAGGTAGAAAATTTCGATTCAGTATTATTATGAGCGATCAGTAAGCTTTTAAGTTTCCAATACGGCATTACATTAGGCTGTCATTTCGAAATTCGAAAATTATGGATGAGTAAAGTATTAATATATACACAATTCTACTCATTGTTATTGACCAATCAAACTTGTTTATTATGAAAGTACCAAAAGGTAATAATAAGTACAGCATTGTTATTGCACCATCGATATAAGGTATGCAATTATGCGTAATCATCAGTCATGGGTGGCAAGTAACGGGATTTTCGGAAATTGGCACTTTTCGGTTGAAAACATTATCAAAGGGTAGAAAATAGTACAGCAAATTATGCACCAAAGTCGCTCTGTGTCTATGTATGCGACAGGGTTTAAATACTATTTTCAGGTGACAGAGTCCTTTAGTTCGAAAGAAGCAAACAGACTTAAATACAAACAGGTTGATTGGGAATTTTATTCAATTGAGAATATTTTAATAGGTAA